GAGCAGAGATCTGCTTTGCTCTGGGCCACCCATGTAGAGCAGCTGCCAGCCATGACCACCGCAGTCTCTACCAGAAGAAGTCATCACACCCAGAATGCACCTTGCAACATGCAGGCCTACCACAGCCCAGCGGGAGACACCAGTCTCTCTCCCCTGGCCTCTTTGCTCTGGGAGTGGGCCCCCCGCCGAGAGGGCTCAGCTTTCAACATACCAGGCGGGGGCTCTCACAGCTCAGGTTCGGGAATGTGATCCCCACTAGGCTTCAGTTTCTAGGGGCCCCAGGTAGCAGGTTGGCAGTGACTGAGCCTCATGAACTGAGCTAATAGTGAAGGGCTCTGGGGCATCCGTGGGCCAGACGCTGCCTCAAATTTGCCAGTGGGTAACCCAGAGCATAGTCCCAAGATGCCTCTGGAAGTGGGATCCTCTTTGCTCTGCCCTTGTGAACCTGGCTTGGGCCTCCTGGTCTTGCCCTGTGGATTCTAGGGAACCCCCAGTTTGGAAACTCATGGAGCCCTGGGGCCCTGGAAACAGAATCTCTAAGCAGGAAGTCCTGCTGCGTGCAGGATGGGGCGTCCTGGCTCTTTAGCCCGGCCACTGGAGGCATGAGGCACAGCAGCAGGCTGGCTTTCAAGGAGATGGACTTGACCGTGAGGAGGACTTGAATCCTGACTTTGCCCCTGCGTGTGCAGCCTTGACCAAGTTACTGAACTTTCTGAATCTGTTTCCTTGCCTATAAAGCCTGATAATGCCGTGGGGAAAGGCCAGTTAGCTACACCACCGTGCTCAGGTGGTTGTGCCCACAGTATTCTGGTGGAAGAGATGACTAGATGCAGAAGATGGGGCGGGGAGGGGGGGCTGAACGAACTCCAGCCCAGAGGGGGGGGCAAGCTCTTTTCCTTGGGGTCTCAGCACTGCCAGACCCTGTGCCTGGAACTCCCCCAGACAGCTGTCCGCCTGCTTGCTCCTTCCCTTCCTCCTCCCCATCTTTCTCTAACAGCAACCTGTCAACAGGCCTCAGGGCAGCCCTGTTTAGCTGGAGTCCAGGGAAGGTAAGGCCTGGCCACTCATGACTAAAAATGCCCTGATGTGTGAAAGCTGCTGAGACAGTGATCTCAAAGGTTTTCATCCAAAAGAAGTTTTACACTGGCGTGTGTTGATGGCTGTTAACTAGCGTTCTTGCAGGGACCACATCCCAATACCTAAGCAGCGAACCCCCCTGCCACACACCTGAAGCGAATTCGGTAATGCATGTCCATGACCCCACAGTTGAACAGAAATAAAGAGGTAACGGAGCGGAGCCTCGGCCTCCTCCTCTCACTGGGCTTCCTCCACGGCCGACTCACCTCGCCTGACTCCATGCGCCTCACTGTGGGTTGCCCTCCCACTCTCTCCAGCGCTGTTCCACACAGGCGGGTCTCTTATAGTCTTGCGGAGCAAACCCCGTGCCTGGGGGTAGGCCCAGGAGTTTAATGAGCCCTCTGAATGAGCAGCTGAAGGGCAGTGAAGTTTCCAGTGGGTGGGGGGAGGTGTGCAGGTGAGGGTGGGGAGGGGAGAGGCGGGGGAGGGCCAGGGCATGAAGGCATTGGTGCTTTTCCCCCAAGGAGGGGTAGGAGAGATCAGAGAGATCAGGAGTCCCTCGGAGGGCCCACCCGTGGGGAGAGTTCCTGCCTACAGGGGTTTTTCTGGGGCTTCTTGCAGACACTGGCCAGAGCCTGTGGTGGGGGAGGCAGGAGGCAGCCCCCTCCCTGCTGGGCAATGCGAGCTGACATTCTGAGGCTGGTGTCCCCAGCACTGTGGCCCTGGCTCCAGAAGGGAGCGGGGACCAAGGGGCGCGTGCTCCAGGAGTGGCGGGGTGCCCGTGGGGACCCCGGGGAGAGACCAAGGAGGCTGCTAGGCCACAGGTACTGTTTTCTTCTTCTTCCTGAAAAGAAAAGAGACTCAAAGCAAGTGCGGCAGAATGTGACCATTGTCAGCGCTGGATAAGGGGCACAGAGGTGTCAGCACAGAGGCTCTGTACCGATTCTGTATTGCAAAAAAAATACAGCTTTGGAGGTGGGCAGGGCAGTCACAGCTCATGGGGGAGGGGAGAGGGGCTGTTCGGGGGCCCGGGGGGACGTGTCTTTGGTCCTTTTTCCGTGTGGGAGCAGGGTCTCAGCCACTCCTGGAGCTGCCCGGGGAGGGGGCCTCTCCTGCTCCCCCTGCCAGGTCTCAGTTTCCTGCCTTCCTGGGGATTGGGGGGAGGCTGAGAGGCCCCGTGCTGGGGTGAAACTAATTCATTAGTGACGCCTCAACAAGGACCGGGCACCCGCGGTGCCAGCGTGATTCATCAACATGATTGCCCCGCTGCCAGCCTGCGTGGGCCCGGAACGCCAGCACATTTTACCTTTACCCACTGAGAAGGGCCTGGTGGGAGGCAAAGGTACAGGATCTACCCAGAGCAAGAAAAGGCTGAGAGAAAGAAGAGGGCTGGTCCCCTGTGCCCTTGAACCCAAGGAGCCCTGCCAGGCTGGAGGAGTTGCTGCAAGGGGCTCGCGTGGCTCCTGGCGGGGCGCGCAGCTCTGAGCATGTGGCGAGGGGGCCGGCTGGGCCTCCTCCTCCACAGTGAATGTTCTCTGGGGAAAACTGCCAGGGGGCGGCAAGGGGTGCCGTGGGGGAGGCGCTCACCCTCCTCCCATCAGCCTGGCGGATGTTCTGAGCCTCTCTAGTTTCGGAGGCATCGCCTCTTCCAAGTTCTCTGAAGTGGGAAGGGGGAGTTGCACTGGGGCTGAGGTGAGGGCAGGGGTGCTCATGGGGGCCCCCCTCGGGGCTCCCCCTCCCCACCCCCCCAGGCTCACCATCTCCACACTCTCCAGGGCTGCTAACTGGAGCCCTGCCCGGGCCTGCAGCCTCCCTTCCAGGTCACGCCTGTGGCTGGTTCCCAGCTCGGAGCAATACCCGCCTCTGTGTTCCTCTTACCTGTTCACCCCACGACACCCCGATTACAAGCGCTCTAGCGCTGTTATTTTGCTCCTTTATCCGACACAGAGATATTGAGTATCTGAGCAAAAGAAGCCAGGGGCAAGAAAAGTACACACTGAGCAATTTTGCTTCTACGAAATTCAATAACAGGCACACCGGCTCCGTGAGACAGAGGTCAGGACGACGCCCGGGGAAGCGGACTGCCTGGCAGGGCGGGGGGACGCACCCCATGGCGTTCGCCTTTGTCAAAACTCATCGAACTTAGGAACTGATGAACTGTATGTCAAGTTTGCCTCCATGTCAAAGCACATCGAAACGTCCCCTTGACCGGGGATGGCCCGCTAGAGCCTGCTAGAGCCGGGGCCAGCCGCAAGGAGCGGACTTGTCTGAAGCTCATGGGGGCTGCGTGACTCTCCTCCCCCTGGCCCCTGCTCTGTCGGGGCCGGCTCTTCCCTGCTGCTAGCAGAGGGGACTGGAGTGGGGAAGTCAAAGGGTGGGCCGCCGCCCACAGGGGTCTGTCCGTGCATCCAGGACACGCTCACACCAGCGGGCCTCTAGGTGGGCAGGGCGGAGGGGCCTGGAGCCTGCGGCCGCAGCTTGATAGAAGGTCCACTCCCAGTGCAACCTTCAGCAGGTGGCCTGCGGCCGCTGGGCCACTTTCCTCACCTTCCCACGGGCATTTAATGCCTTCCTTGTGGTTCTGTCATGGCAGTTAGAGGCTCCTTTGTAAGCCAAGTTCCTTGCTGGGGTGGAATCATAGTCTGCACTTACTGGGTGGCACACCTGTTGGGAGCCCTGGCTCGGAGAGGCAGGCTACCTGGTTTCAAATCCCAGCAGGGTGAGCTCTGGGGAGCTCGGACAAGTCACCCAGCTCAAGTCCAACTTCTCAGAGACTCGGTTTCTCTGTCTTTAAAATTGAGGGCACCTATCTCCTTGAGTTGGCTCAAGGAATCAATGCAATGCCTGGTATAAAGCTGGACACAGGACCGGCCCCCAGCAAAGCAGTTTCTGCCGTAGGAAGGCTCTGAAGTGGGGGGAGGGGGGGAAGGGTGAGGAGCGTGGAGGAGAGAGGAAGAGCAAAATGCTGCGGCTGAGTGCATGCGCAAAGGGAGCGTTAAACACCAGCCATCACCCTTGATGGTGCGCAAAGCCACGTGTCCAGTCGTCTGTCCACCCAACTCTATACAGAGCTTGAGCGCTGCTGGAGGAACATGACAGGAAGCTGTAAGGGGGTGAGGAAGAAGCAGCCTGGAACTAGGGCGCCCAGGGAAGGGCAGGGAGGCAGAGCCGACCTCTGGGCTCCGGCCAATTCCCAGATAAGACCCCCCTTTCCCTCGCCAAAGGGTCAGAAAGTAACACAGTCTGAGTTCCTACGCTAAAGTGACCCCAGCAAGGAGACTGGTCCAGGCCACTGGGCAAGATCGGCCGGCAATGACCGCGCCCCCTGAGTTCCTCCTCAAGAGCCAGAATCCCTGGATCGCGCGCACCCCAAAAGCTTGCTACGGATGGCGGTTTGGACTCTGCTACGTCGGGTCTGAGCGGGCCGTGCCAGACTCGCCCCCAGCGGACCTAGAGTTCTCCGGCAAACTCGAGCTCGGGGGCGGGCCAGACGGGCCGACGGGGGCGGGCCCAAGGGCCGGGACCCCGCTCGGGAGGCCCGGAGGCCCCGCCTCGCCCCGCCCTCCCTCCGCCTCATTGGCAGCCGCTCGCGCGTCGCGGGTTGCCAGGGCGACGGGTCGCTAAGCGGCGAGTCAGCGCAAACCCCAGCC